TTTCAGGACACTCTCTGCGTCTGGCTGTCACCATGTCATTCAGGGTGACACTGTGGTCATCCAACCAACCGACACCTAGACGCCACACACACACGGCAGTAAATCCATAACCTATACACACAAATCCATTCACACACACACACACACACACACACACACACAAGTACCTGTGCAGTTGTGTGTCTCTGTTTGAATAAACATATTGTGTTGTCTGAACACACACACACACATACACACTCAGAGGTCTGTTTGATGTGATTTGTGTTTGTGTGTGTGTGTGTGTGTTACTCTGGTTTGCTTGCTGTTGTAGTGTCGTCAGAGACACTAGTCAACTATTAAGACTGAAATAGCATCAGTCTGGCACATAGCAACCACACACACACTAAGCATTAAACAGCTAGTTGTGTGTGTCAGTATAATGACTCCTCTATATAATGAGCCACCTCCATATAATAGGAAACAGGAAGCAGACACACTGTTCTGTACTATGCTTCAGTGATGGTAATACTGTGAAATATTGATATATATCGTGTAATTGGTATGGTATTGCTGTGGTTACATAGTGTAACGTTACATAGTGTAATGATGTGGTTACATAGTGTAATTTGATGCTGATGTGAAGTCTTTTATGCTCACCAAGGCTGCATTTATTTGATTAAAAATACAGCAATAACAGTAATATTGTGAAATATTATTACTATTTAAAATAACTCTTTTACACTTGAATGTATTGTAAAATGTAATTTATTCCTGTGATGCAAAGCTGAATTTTCAGCATCATTGCTCCCATCACTGACTCTGACACCATCACTGTACCATGGTACTACCACAGTATATTTAATGTATTTTCATGGTGTTATTTTTTTTTTGTTATTGATTCAGTAATACTGTTATTTTAAAATATACCTTGATACAGTTTAATTACTGTATTCACATACAATGCTACTTAAATAGCACTGTAAGCTCTTCAAAGCATATAATGGTATTACCATGGTAACACATCCAAACAAGCATGCTTGTAAGGGTTGTAATGATGGCTCTACCTACTCTAGTCATCAAGTTGGGCTGGTGCGTAATTAACTATACTGCTAAATTACGGCCTACTCACCCGATTTGAGATTAAAGAGAGACTGTCCTTACTGTAGACAGACAAAGAGTCCAGATGACTAAAGTACTGCTTAACTTAATGATGCACAAAGCATGAAAATTAGGTGTTTATTATATGGAGCAGGATATGGGCCAATGAGATTTCCTGTAGGCGGAGCTAAGTTGCATAAAGTTCATGACATTTTCATTATTAGTTGGTGTGTCTTCTATATTGTTACATCACAAAGCTCAGAATGGCTGTCGAAACGGCCGTTAGTTGGCGAGGGCGAGCACAATTGCAGATTTATTGTTGCGTTGACGTCAGAACATTGTTCGGGGTTGGCGAACGGAACAGAGGCAGCCCAGATGAATGATAAGCAGTACTGCTAATGTAAACATGCGCTGGAGGCTGGTGGCGCTGCTCTGTGCGGGGCGGCAGATTCTTCACATTCCGTCGCTGCCTCTCGTGAACGCTGAAATTAAGGATGCAAGATGTGTTTGGCAGAGCTCAGGATGGTTTTCCTGGACAGAAGGCATGCGCTGGTGTGAAAGTGTGTGTGTGTGTGTGTGTTTACCTTTTTGTGCTAGTGTTCCCATCAAATCTAATCAATTTATCTCCTCAGCTCTCTCCTTCCTTCCTCGACAATACTTTGTTCACTTTAAGAAACTTTAGTAAAGCCAGTTTCTTACTGGTCCAAGATGGTCATAATCTAGTCTAGATGGTCAATCAGTTGGCCTACCCATTGGTGGTCTTGGTTTCAACCTGGTAGACCATCTTGATCAGGCTGAAAGAGCTTGTAGACCATCTTGGACCAGCAAGTACCAATTTGACCACCTTGATCTGGTATCTTTCAATCAGGGATTCAGTTAAGTTCACTTGATGAAGTTAAATTGGCATAAATAATAATTGGTTCTTGTTGGAAAGTCTAGTGAAGCCAATATCTGATGGTTCTTACTGGTCCAAGTAAGTCATACTCTAGTGTAGATGGTTAATCAGTTGTCCTACCCACTGGTGGTCTTGGTTTCAACCTGGTAGACCGTCTTGATCAGGCTGAAAGAGCTTGTTGAACATCTTGCACCAGCAAGTACCAATTGGACCACCTTAATCTGGGATCTCCTAATTTTTCCAGCAGGGATTCAGTGACGTTCAATTGAAGTCAAATTGGCATAATTAATAACCATGTCATTCTTGTCTCTCTGTAGATTCCCTGGCTCTTCAGGAGCGTGGAGAACAGCCTCATTGGTGTGTGGTGGCGTACTGGGAGGAAAAGACCCGCGTTGGGCGCCTCTACTCCGTCCAGGAGCCATCGCTGGACATCTTTTATGACCTACCTCAGGGCACGGGCTTTTGCTTGGGCCAGCTCGCCTCTGACAACAAGAGTCAACTGGTGCAAATGGTTCGGGCCAAGATCGGCTACGGCATCCAGCTCAGCCGCGAACCCGACGGCGTGTGGTTATATAACAGGAGTTGCTACCCCATATTCATCAAGTCAGCCACACTGGACAACCCCGACTCGCGTACGCTGCTGGTGCATAAAGTATTCCCCGGGTTTTCCATCAAGGCCTTCGACTTCGAGAAGGCGGGAAGCCTACAGCGACCCAACGACCACGAGTTCAGCCAGCAGCCGCGGACGGGCTTCACCGTGCAGATCAGTTTCGTGAAGGGCTGGGGGCAGTGCTACACCAGACAGTTCATCAGCAGCTGCCCCTGCTGGCTGGAGGTCATATTCAATAACCGATAACAGCGAGCCCCGCCCCCCCATTCCTTCATCGCCATGGAGACGGACTAGCCCTTACCTTATATGGACTGTTGTTTTTCTGTTTTGTTTTTCGCGAGAAGTTCTCCAGAAGATGTTTTATGAGAGAAATGGAAAACGAAAACTCACTTTGACTTGTTTAATAAATGACTAAGATTTAATTGTGAAATAAAAGCTCAAATGTATTTTATGTTAAATATAAATATATTATTACCTGTAAATACGAAGTTTTATATGCATTGTTATTTATGTATTGTGCGATGTGTTGATGAGAAAAAGAGATGCACTTTGCTTAATATAAATGCAAACAAAGAAATGCCAAAATAAAAGCAAATATACTGAATACATCTCTGAATTTGTGCTTGTTCTCTGCTGGTTCGTGTGAGTCTAACTGTTCAGTAGTTTTATTCTTGTCTTAAAATGTCTTTTTTTCCAAGTCTTTTTTCACCCACAAATTAAAAGACATTTTAGCAGAGTTCCCACAGCTCTAAAATATTTTTTTATTATATTATATTTAAAATATTTCTGCTAGTTTGTGCAAGTTTTATACAATTTTTTAAACTTCTCCAATGATCATGAACAACTGCAACTTTTTTTTCTTGTTCACCCACAAATAAGACATTTTAGCAGTTCCCACAATCATAGAAAACCTTTTTTCTTATATTTTTAATTTGCTTAAAAACTATATATATATATATTCTTATGCACAGCTCTAAAATATAAATTTTTTTATTATGATATTATTTCTAATATTTATAATTAATCCCGCAATTGTGATTGCAAGTTTTATAAAAAAAATTCTATTTGTCCAGTAATCATGATCGACTGCAACTTTTATTTGTTTTATTTATTTAACATATTTCTACTAGCAATTGGATGTGCAAGATTTATACAATATTCTAAACTTATTCAGTACTCATGATCAACTGTAAAAAATCATGGAGTTTTGTTGGTTCAAAGTGGTTTATTTGGGCAGAAAATCTCACAAATAATGACCCACATTGCTCTTTAATTTCAGATTCACATTATTTTTTCCATCGGTCTCATTTTAATATTTAATGAGGCTTCATACACAATGTGAATGAGTTTCTTTGAATGAGTTTCTGTGAGAGCAAATTCCCTCAGTCTAACGCGACTGCCCCGTGGGCCGGTTGTGTGCCAGGAACAGCAGGTCTCTGGGGGAGGGGAAGCGTCTGCGGCCCGTCTAGACGAGTGCCACACCTCCTCCTGCCGCTCCTGATATGGACGTCTGCTGGGGGGATTACAGCCGTAAGCCTGCTCTGACCCGACCGACTGGCCCTGAGAGACCTACATTCACCAGGCCCCGATTCCCACACAGACCTGAGAGCCACAGAACAGTTGGAGACAAACGGAGTGATTATTTCATAATGAAAACATAAAAGTAAAAAATTATTTTTTTTCTCTCAGTCCGTGTGTCTCTCGCTGGTCAGTAAAGGGTATTCCTGGGTATTAGTGTCATGGTGGTGTCCTGGTCCCTGTAATCCAAACTCTCCTAATGCATCTAAAGCTTGTGCTAGCCAGGAAACCCGGACAGATGCTTCGACCCGACACCAATACAAAGAGCTTATTTATCCTCCTTCTGATGAACAACTAACGCCACAAAGACACTGAAACGTGAACACAACACCAGCTAATTACACCATGAATAAGGACGAAGAATAAATTAAATTAATATAATATAATATAATATAATTAATATTAAA